CTGGGGGCTAAGGGAAGGATTCCTTGAAGTCAGGAGGATCAAGATCTAAGTAAATGTAGATGTCAGCCAAGTGGGAAGGGGAAGGAATAGTGTTTAGGCAGAGGGGTGGCAAGTAAAAAGCCCTTGTAGTGGGAGGAAACTGCAGCTTGGAAGAGGATAGGAAGAGTCAGCATGGCTGTGGTACTGTAGGGAAGGTTCAGAGTGGTGAGAGCTGCTGTTGGGTGGTCTTTGAAGTCATTTTAAGCCATGGAAAGAAAGGCTGTGGGCATCCCATGTGCCATGTTAAGCTATTGAAGGAGGTTAAGGCAGGGAAGGGTTAAGATCCAATTTGAGCTTTGAAAAGGCTTGTTTGACTTCAGTGTGGAAAATTCATTGAAAGAATCTCAGAGTAAACCAGTTAGTTATTCCAGTAGTCCAAAGCAGGGGTTCCTAACCCTGCACAGCAGAAGGTGAGCGGCACTGAGCCAGCCAGGCTTCGTCTGTGTTTACAGCCTCCCCCGCTTTGCTGGCATTACTGCTGGAGCCTCGCCTCCTGGCAGGTCAGCAGTGTCTTTGCGTCCTCCTAGGAGCACAAACCTGCTATGCAGTGTACGTGTGAGGGAGTTGGCTTGTTCACCTCTCATGAGAATCTAATGTAATATGTAATAGCAATAAAGTTCTCAATAAATATAATACATGTGAATCATCCCCAAACTATCTCCCCAAAATTGTTTTCAAAGAAACTGGTCCCTGGTAGCAAAAAGATTGGAGACCAGGAGTCTAAGGTAAAGATAACAGAAGATTGGAGTTGAAAGAGTTTAGTCTATAAGTGTGATTTGGTAGTGAATTAGATGTGTGGATAACGGGAAAGATGTGGAAGGAGGGCTTCCAGATTGCTGGCTTACATAATTGTATGGGTAGTGGTCCCATTCTCTAAGGTAGAAGACACTAGAAAAGCACCTGACTTGGAGGACTAACAGGTCACAAAGGTGTTATCACCAGGGACATTTTAGCTAGCTAAGAAGAGAGGTCAAGTTGGAAATCAACAGCTAGAGTCTATAGAAGAGATCTGCTTTGGACATGTGCACTCTCATGAATTCCCGAATCTGTGGATGTACAAGTAGATGAGAACATAAGAGTAAAGAAAGGAGAGGGCTTAGGGAAGATATGAAGGAATTCTAATATGTACTTACCAGATAAAGAATATAAAGCCTGGGAGGCAGTAATGGTAGAGGAGTGTTCAGAGAAAATAGGAGAATGTTTCCCTATGGCTGTTTTGGTGGAGTAGCATGGGCAGAAGCCAGATAGGAGTGAGTTGGATGAATAGGAGCTACAACATAGCCAATGTGAATAGACAACTTCTATGGAAAATTGGCTCCATAGCTTGGAGACAGGTATGCTGGCAGCCATAAGGGTTGTGCGCTGAGTGTTTCTCACTGAATATGTCAAAGAGAGGATAGAAATTGGATGGTTCTTAAATGCTTCCTAGGCAAAGGGATGGAGGGAAGGTTTTTCTTTAAGTGAATAGTGGGCATCAGAGTGAGTACATTTTGGGGACATGACAAAGATGAGAAAGAACAGTAATGAGAAAGAACTTTGTATTAGTAGGAAAGGTGAGGTTGGATTTCAGAGGGCTCTGTAAGTCTGGGAAAGGATTTGAGGTTTGATGGTGGAAGCATTTGGGATTTTTGATCTGTATGAGGAAGGATAGGATGGATGGAGGGTTTCAAGGGGACAAGTTAACATTCATTTGAACCTGAGACTGAAAATCAGGATGAGTGAAACAGGGAGACCATGTAGCTGTGTGGTTGGATACATGCTCTAGTCATAAATGAAGAGTTTATGGAATACAGAGGGTAAACTGGACTGGGCTAAGAAGGGAAAGCTAATGGAATACATAATGGAAAGAGGTCTTATAAATTTGTTTTTAAAATTTTTTATTTATTATTGTTTATTATTTTAATTTATTCGTACAAGTGTGCAGGACACAGTGTTTCCATTTCTCGTGTGCAGTTGGTGCCTGTGCACAACACAATTCCTTTTTCTCATCCCTTATTCTTCCCTCCCCCACCTTCTATCTCTTAATCCCCTTTCCTGCCAAGAACCATTCATCTCCCTACTTCCCATTATCCATCATTTATTTTGCTTTTTACTTTTACGCTAGGTTTTTCATAGTAGAAAAACAATGTGATTTTTTTTAACAATGTGATATTTAAACTTGTGTGTCTGATTTATTTCACTTAATGTTATGGTCTCAAGGCGCGTACATTTTCCTATAAATGAGTCAAGTCTGTCTTTCTTAATGGCAGAGTAGTACTGCATGGTGTGTAAATACCACATTTTCTTTATCCATTCATCTGATGATGGGCATATAGGACACTTCCAAGATTTAGCTATTATGAATTGTGCTGCTAAGAACATAAGTTTGCATATATCTCTGTAATATGTCTTTAACTCTTTCAGGAAGATACTTAGATGGGAAATAGTTGGGTCGAATAGAATTTCTAGTTTTAGTTTTTTGAGAAATCTGCATATTGATTTCCATAGTGGTTGTACTAGTTTACAGTCCCACCAACAGTGTAGAAGGTTTCCTTTTTCCCTACAGCCTCTCCAGCATCTGTTATTATTTGATTTCTTGAAGATGACCATTCTTTCTGGAGTAATGTGAAATCTGTGTTATTTTAATTTGTATTTCTCTTATAGCCAGCCACCTCAGTTTACTTGATATGGGAGGTTGCAGTGTGTTTGGCCCAGTACCCAGTTATCCCAGAATGAGCCACGGTATTGTTAATGACCCCTAGGCAATCTAGATACTGGCACCTCAAAAAAAACCCCAATTAATATCAACAGCTATGACACTTGCCCATAGTGATAAAATCAGCATCAATTAAAATACAAACTGAATATTGACAAATCCCAAGGACCAATGAACCATCACCCTTATCCATAGGAAAGATATCTATAATTATAGTATGAACAATAAGACAAACCAAATATTTACCTACTATTGACCTACAGTAAATATTTACTAAATGGAAGAGCTTTACCTCTACTAACAATAGAACAATATTCAACAGCAATAGCATAAAGTTAACCATTTATCTACTGATTCATACAGCTTAACTATATTACTAAAAATTAAGGGAATTGGGAACTAGAGAATGAATAAGAGCAAAATTTTAAAAATTAATCAATGAGATTTGAGAAGGAGGAGAGAAAAGTAAGAGAGGGGGTCCTATTAAGGAATAAAAAAAATTAAGAGCAATTGAGAACAGCCACTGGAAAGAATGAACATGAAGGGTTCCTTTTCTCCCACATTCCTGCCAGAATTTGTTATTGGTTGATTTCATGAGAGCAGCCATTCTTTCTGGAGAGTGGTGGAATCTCAATGTTGTTTTCATTTGCATCTCTTGAATGACCAATGTTGTTGAACATTTTTTCATATGTTTATTTGCTGCTTTTACTTCTTTGAGAAATGTCTGTTCATTTCAGGTGGCCATTTTTGGACTGGGTCTTTAAATTTGGGATGTCTGATTTTTTAAAGTTCTTTATATATTCTAGATAGTAGACCTTTATCTGAGGAACACCTGATAAAAATTTTTTCCCACATTGTGGGTTGTCTCTTCACACTGTTAGTTTCTCTTGCTTTGCAGAAGCTTTTTAATAAGATGACATCCCAGTTGTTGATTCTTTGTGCTAGTTCATGAGTGACTGAGGTTTTGTTTATGAAATCTTTTCCTCTACCAATGTCTTCAAGAGTTCTAACTAACCTCTCTTCCAGCTGGTTTAGTTTTTTTGTTTTAATATTTAGATCTTTAATCCATTTTGATTTTAGTTTAGTGCATGGTGAGAGATATAGGTCTAGTTTTAATCTTTGGCAAGTTGAAACCCAATTTTTCCAGCACCATTTATCAAAGAGGCTATCTTTCCTCCAGTGAGAGTGTTTGGCTTCTTTGTCAAAGATGAGATGAGGAGAAAGGAACGAAAGGAAAGGAATAAATATGAGAAAAGGAAAAAATGGAAACAAAGTCTTTGTAAATAGGGAGGGGTGTAGGGATTGAAGGGAGGGCAGGGGAAGGGGGAAAAAATAAGAACCAAGATATATCATGTAAAGGTACAAATTCCCAATAAAGAATGTTAGCATATTGTATGCCTAAAATGTACCAATAAAATTAATGAATTTAAAAAACAGAAAAAAAAGAATGAACATGAAAATGAAGAAAAAAGATAAACATCAAAAACAGGAGATAAAAGAAAGAAGGAAGAAAAAGAAGTTAGAAGGAAAAAAGATAAAATGGAAAAAAGAAACTAAAAGAAAAGAAAAAATGAAAGCCTCTAACCCTGAAAAAAACCTGATGAAGGGAAGATAAAAGTAACACACAAAAGAAAATAAAAAAAATCAAGTCAAAGAAAAAATTTCTGTGTTATTGAATGAGTGGTTTCTTTTCACAATCTGCAGTCTTCTGATCTAGCTAGACATGATTTTCTCTGCTTTAGGGCCTATGAGTCTTTGAGATTTTCTCCTTGGACTGACGGCCTCTCTGTCCATTCACCCCAGACTGTGGTTACCTCAAGGCAAGAAATGTCCTTGCTCCCATTGGTAGATGGACACTACAATCAGCCCTCTGTTCTGTGCTGGATGTGCGTCACAAACTGGGGGTTTAAGTGTGCTGTTTGGGCTTAGTGTCAACAATCATGGACTCTGTTTTCTCCCACTTTTCTCTGGGTTTTGTCTTTGTCCAGGATTGGGTAGGTTGTTTAGTCTTTGCCTCTGCTGCCTGGTGCTGTGCTCCTCTGAGGGCGACCCTGCTCTTCTGGTGCAGGTCTGCTCTTATTGGTTTCTTTAAAATAGAGTTTTTAGTTTGTATGGGAATTTAATAGTATTTATTGTGTATCTCATTGATCATCATGCTAATTTGATATGTCAGTTTTAAGAATAGGTTATGTTAATTGTACTTTGATTACTTGAAAGAATTGTTAAATAAAACTAAACAACTTCCTTTTCCTTCTTTCTTCCTTAGAATCAAGTTTCTTACTGGGAAATGCCCAAATTGTGGATTGGCCTGTAGTTTATAGTAATGACGGTTTTTGTAAACTCTCTGGGTATCATCGAGCTGACGTCATGCAGAAAAGCAGCACTTGCAGGTAGGTAATAGAACAACCTAGGAATCTTTTCAAAAGTTGAGCAAAATTCAGAAAGCAACGAAAATGGTTATGTTTACTTAGACCAACAGAGAAACTAATGGGTAAGAATTGTATTAGAAAATTAAGAGAACTACATTGTTAATGGAAATATATAGTTTAAGAGCCATTGTTCCTTTTTCAAAGAAAAGAATTTTTGTGTATCTGAATTAATTAATTCCTTCAGCAAATTTTTTTTGATCAGCTGCCATAAGGCAGGAGCTATCATAGGTGCTGAGTGATCAGAGAAGCATCCTGTATCAGGGAACCACCACTGATATCAGCACTTGTGGAGCAATAGAAATTATCCTTAACAAGGCAGGGAAAACCTCCCCAGCCAGGTAGAACATGGTTCATGAGCATTTACAGAACATGAAAAAGAATTCTTACATCCTACGTCAGTCAGGATGTTGGCTCATTTTACCATTTAATGTTGGCTCATTTTATCCTTGTTCTTTTGTTTGTCCTATATAAAATAGAATGTAAAGCCCAGTGTTGTGGAACATAACTATAATCCCAGCACTCAGGGAGGCTGAGACAGGAGGACTGCAAATACTAGCTCAGCCTGGCTAACTTAATGAGACACTGTCTCAAAATAAAAAGTAAAGTGTTGAGGATGTAGCTCAGTGCAGAGGCCCTGGGTTCAATCTTCAGTACTGACAGAAACAAAACAAACACAAACAAAAACACAAAGCAGAGCCTGACATTATCTGACATTTATTTGCATTACTTATGATGCTTTTAAAAAAATAGGTCATTTTTGCAAGTTTTAAAAGAATATTGATAAAAGGGGGTCAGAAAAAAGAAAAAAGAAGAGGAAACTATATATAAGGTTCCAATTTAGAATCTAAAATTCAGTAAGACCATATGGAATGCTTTTTCTTGGTTTAATTTTTCTTTAAAGTTCTCACTTAACTAAGCACTGAAACCAAATTTTGTTAGAATTGAAAAAGATCTGAATTTTTTTCTAGTTCAAACCCTGTTTTTCAGATGAGAAAACTCAGGTAGAGCTTTCTAAAGGGGCATTCACAGGGAAACACAGGATTTATTTATCTTTTCTTTACCCAGTTATTCTGAGAAGTCATTCATTCCTTCTGCATCTTCATGGAAGCCAGGGATTTTATAGAACATCAGTGTGTCTAAACCTGACTGTACACAGGAATCACTTAAACAGCATTTGCACAATAGAGATTCCCTTATCTCTTAAATCTGTTGAATCAGAGTCACTCAAAGTAGATGGATTGAGCCAGTAGTTAGTATTTTTAACCAGCAGCTCAGATGATCCTGATGCTTATCCCAGTTTGAGAGATAATCTGTTCAGACATCCTATCCATCACTTATCCCCCTCACCCAGTGTCCTCATTTCCCCTCATTTCTCTAGTTGTCCCTCATTCAATCTTTACTCTCAGATATGGAGTTCATAACTGTGACCTTTGGTGGAGAAACCCCTTTGTTAGTGTTGACGTCATTGTGCCTTTTTAACCATGGGGTGATCATTTGCTTTTGTGCTGGTGTGGTCAGTAAGGCATGTGTTCTGTGTTCTGAGTCATGCGTCACTATTCCCCTGTGTCCCCAGCAGGTTGTAGTTTAGGAAACAGCTAAGCATTATGGTCTACATTATCCCATGGAATGGGTATGATAAAGAAATCCAATGACGGTAAATGCTCACACAACCATTCTTCTTCATGCCAAGTATTTCTCTCAGATGTCCTCTTCTACCTGAAGGTATTTATGATTCCCTCAACAAGCTGTGTCTCTCCTGTCTGTGATTTCTCATGATTCTTTGTGTGTATTTCTGTTGGGCATCATTATTTGGCCTTAAATTAGCTTGCCTTATCCCTTGGTGTCTTGGTTACTTTTTCATTGCTGGGACAAAATACCCAAAACCCACAGTTTAAAACAGGAAAGGTTTATTTCAGTGCAGTTTGTAGAGCTTTTAGTCCATAGCCAGCTGGTTCCAAGGCAGGGTGGCATAGTAGAGGGCCATTGCCGAGGAGAAACAGTTCATGGTGTGGTGGGCAGGAAGTAGCAGCAAATCTCTCTTCCTTTTATCCCTTTCAGGCCACAAGCCTTTTGGATGGTGCCACCCACACCCAACATGGGTCTTCCCATTATCCACACCAAGAAATGTGATAAACCCAGTAGCGGACTAAGCCAGTACCACACACTTTTAATCCCAGTATCACATATCCTAATCCAGCCACCTTTGAAAAGCCGCACCTATGAGTGCATGAGACTGTCAGGGGGCATCTCGATACAAGCTGTAACACTTGGGTTTTTTATTCTATTTGCTTTTGTTGTCATTTCTGAGAAGTATTTCTATTCATCTCTGATATATTGAAAGCTCTGCTTCCATTCCTTCTTGTGTGCCATGTATTTTCCCTATCCTCAGCCTGTTTTATTTGGGAAATGCAGTTTTTCTTACAAAAGGATTCATTGAAAAGAATTCTGGGCTATTATATTAATATTCACTTCTCTAAAAGAGTTACATTTCCCCTCACACTAACAGTATCAGATTAAGTACTTGGAAATTAAGGACTCCATCTTTTGCATGCAGTAAAGAACAAAGAGAAGTATTTTATGTTAGTATTTGTTGCATTAGGTTGGCTTGTTTTGCAATAAATCCTAACTTATGTCTCTCATACTTCCGTAAAGCATGTTTCTATTTATCATATTTCATCCCAAGTGTTACAACATTTGAGGCAGGTGAGGGTGATTTTTGGATTAAGTTGAGCATTTTCATTATGCAAAAAGTATGCAAATCTTCCGTGAAGTCTTCTTCACCTATTAGAGACAGTATTTTCAAAATAAGCACATTCTGAACATAAACAATTTTTACTTACTTGCACAAAATGCCAAGTGTGTTTTGCTAATCTAAAAATTGCAGCTGGTTTAAGATGCACATAGAAGGAGGAAGTCTAGAGTCTGATAAATGAATAAATGATACCTAATTTTCTTGGAAGTTTGATTTATTTTCATTTGTTCCAAATTTAAACCTCCCCATCCCTCTTTAACAATTAAACTACACTCATTTTATGTTTACTGCAGAATTATTTAGAAAGGGTGGTGACCTAGAAATATCAAAATATCTAGTACAAGATTTGTTGAAAGATTTTATGGTAAAGCTCTAACTTTCTAGATCACGTGTCAGAAGGGTAACACTAAAAAAAGCTAATTACATACTGTCAAGTTAAAAAATACCCAAAACAAAAAATCCCAGAAAAACTACCCCCAAACAACTTATAAATCTGCATCATGATTCTAATTTTTTAAACATATGCTTTCTTTTCTTTCAGATAAGTAATTATAATTACGTATCATATTTTAAAAAAATTTAAATGTGAACTATTTTATGGGGAGATAAAAGACATTTGTCATTTTTACAATATTATAAATCTAAGATTTATTTCTTCTGTTTTTTATCTTTTTCCTTTTTTGTTCTTTCCACCTCCTGCTCCAATGGACAGAATCAAATTAAGCATGCATCTCAGTTTGTTACACTATTATTATTGTGCCATCTTTATTTTTTTAAAATAAATTTCTTTTTTGCTTTATCCCATCCACCTTCCTCTTCACATTCTCTTTTGAATGTTATGTCTTTTTAATCCACTTTTATTCATTTAAATATATATATTTCTGAAGTAATGCTACTGTCCTTGTGTTCATTTTTAAGATTATCTACATAATTGGTACCACGAAGTAATAATTATGTTTTTAACTCTTTTCATTCAACATTGTACTTTTGAGATTTGTTTATGTTTTTGCAGCATAACTGATTTCATTAGGTCTGGGTGTTGTCCAGTGCTCAAGGGTCTTCACAGCCTTCCTGTGTTTATTCGTTTTGCTAGTCATAGAATCCTACTTCTGAAACTTTGCTACCTCAGAAGACTTGGAGAAGAACATTCTCAAACACATCTTCTGTGGCCTTGTATGAATTTTGTCTCTGTGCCCAGAAATGGGATTGATGGATGGTAGAACCGATGCAGAATTCTTAAATTAAGTACTGTCAGGTTGCTGTCCAGAGTGGCTTTTGATTTCTACTTTTACCAGACAACAATAAGGGTTCTGGCTTTCCAACTTCCTTGCTATGTTGTAATATTATGTAAGTGTCTAAAGAGTTTATGTATCTTAGGTGCTGTCTCACTTTTGTTTTAGCCAAAATTTAAAAAAAAATTGTGTCACATCTGGATTCCTGGGAATTTCAGATATAGTCCAGTTGTCATCTAATAATTGCATTGCCAATCTTTGGCCTCTTCTGCTGTTTATTGGAGGACACAAAAATATTGCATGTTTTGAGGAGATTATAGGTTTTGAGGGAATGACATTTAAAAGCATATGAACTTATTTCATGATTCTTAAGAAGCTCTGACATTTGAGACATATTTTCAAAGGTTATGTAGGAACTACTCCAGCCTTTTCGCTTTCATTAAATTGCCACTTTAAGAAAACCTGTTTGGCCTTTGTGTTTGGAGTAGAGGGATGAGAAGAGGAGTCAGGTGGTGTGGGGAGAGAGCATTGAGGAGTCAATAGATGCTTTTAAATACAGTTTTTTGGAAGGCTATTACAAGTCCCTTACCTAAGTTATCAAATTAGGTGAGGGAGCAAAGGCATTAAGAAACATGTTATTGGGTGGCTTTCACAAGCAGTTTTATTAATACAGGGTTATCTTAGCAGACAGCAGGAACACAGCACCCATGGTGCATGTAAGTCGGTGTGGTTCCATTTCTCTGAGAGTTCTGTTTCTCATAGGCACAGAGAAGGGCAGAGGTGCCTCTGTTATGTCAGACTCCTATGGTTAGAGACATACAGTGCTATCCCTGGTTTCCCTTAATTACATGTCATGCATCTACCATTGAGACTCTATCTAAGTCCTTTAAAAACTGTATAAATTAATGGGTTCTGAAACCTTTGGTTATGATCCATTGTATAAAGTAATACCTTTGAATTATTTTGAAAATATTCTC